GTGAGCCACCGCGCCCAGCCAGCAATTATTTTAAATGGTAAAATACTAATACACTATCATCTGCCTTGGACTAAACTACTTTATCCTTTCATTAGCTATGGGTTTCATTAGCCAGCATTTTCTCCTCTCCCAGGAGGAGAAATGTAAAACCTGTTTGAGATCACAGGATTAGCAAAATCCCACACGCTAATTTCGGATGATCTTTATCTATTAAAGGTATCTGGAAAATACTACGCTGGACTTTAGCCCGTAAATATACTGGTACACGTACATAGCCAGCCCTCTGTATCCATGGCTTCCACCTCCATGGATTCAAACAATCACACATCAAAAATATTCAGATTGTACCTGTACTGAACATGCACAGACTTTTTTTCTTGTCATTATTCCCCTAAACAATGCAGTGTAATAACTATTTACATAGCATTTACATTGTATTAGGTTTTTGGGGGTTTGTTTTTTTTTCTTTTTTTTTTTTTTTTGACACGGTCTCACTCCATCACCCACCTGGGCTAGAGTGCAGTGGCATCATCACAGCTCACTGCAACCTTGACCTCTTGGGCTCAAGCGATCCTCCTGCCTCAGCCTCCCCAGTAGCTGGGACTACAGGCTCATGCCACCACGCCTGGCTAATTTTTCTATCTTTAGTAGAGACGGGGTCTCCCTGTTGCTCAGGCTGGTCTCAAACTCCTGAGCTCAAGTGATCCTCCCTCCTCAGCCTCCCAAAGTGCTAGGATTACAGGCATGAGCCACCTTGCACAGCCTATATTAGGTATTTTAAGTAATCTAGAGGTGATTTAAAGTATACAAAGATGATATGTATAGGTTATATGCAAATACTATACCATTTTATATCACGGATTTAAGCATCTTCAGACTTTGTCACCTGTGGGAGGTCCTGGAACCAATCCCACTAGGATAGCAAGAGAAAACTGTGTAATATATATTTACATATATATATTTTTTAGTCACTTTGTGAATATATACATATATGATTTTTAACAACCAAAACTGGTTTTCTTAATAAATATTATCTAAATACCCTTACCCTAAATTAATCTGAACTTAACTGTAGAGCCTTACCAGAAAAATGAACAAAGACCATATCACAAAACAAAACAAAACCCTTGTTGGAGCCACTAAAGTTATGGTGAAACGCCACAGTATTTAAGTTTGCCACTCTATCCTCCTATCATTGGCATTTGCCACTCACAGTAAAACTGATCCTTGGTTTACAGGCAGTTGGCAAACTTGCAAAGCCCTAAGAATAAGATCTTTAAATAAATTATTCATTGCTTAGGGAATCTCATGTTTCTTTAAATATATCCAAGGAAAGTATTCTACTGAAAGAAGAAAAAACTATACTTAGCACTGGAGACAAATGTGAAGATACTGTATGAATTTGAAAAGAACATAAAATGTTCTTGACAACAAATTTTTGAAAGAGATGAAAATTATAAACTTACATTTTTTTTTTTTTTGAGACAGAGTCTCGCTTTATTGCCCAGGCTAGAGTGAGTGCCGTGGCATCAGCCTAGCTCACAGCAACCTCAAACTCCTGGGCTCAAGCAATCCTTCTGCCTCAGCCTCCCGAGTAGCTGGGACTACAGGCATGTGCCACCATACCCTGGCTGATTTTTTCTATATATATTTTTAGTTGTCTAGATCATTTCTTTCTATTTTTTAGTAGAGACAGGGTCTCGCTCTTGGTCAGGGTGGTCTCGAACTCCTGACCTTGAGCGATCCACCCGCCTCGGCCTCCCAGAGTGCCAGGATTACAGGTGTGAGCCACCGCGCCTGGCCTAAACTTACATTTTTTAAAAAAGTAAAAGATAAAAAGTTCATTGAGCTCAGTAGCCTCAATTAACCATTTAAAATCCTGTATCTGAAATGACACATACTGAGGGGGAACTTTTTTTCCCCAGCAACCTCTACCAAGAGTCAGGCTACTTTGCGAAACAGCTTATTCTTTTTTATTTGGTTTGGAAAGTTACACAAGAAATATCAACCAGATTTTTAAAGTCCTGCTTAATAAGCAAGTGCTATAGGACACAGGAGAAATGGCTTAACAAACTAAGCTTTGGGAGTTACAACCAACAGCTTCTAACCATAAAACCACTGTAAAACATGGAAGAGAGGGGAGGAAAATCTCACAATACCATGCCCTACTAACAAAAACTTACCTTCCCAATCGGCAGTAGGTAGAACAGAGCTTGAATAAAAAACCAGAGGAGGTAGACCCCAAATACTCTGGTTTCCCATAAATCATACAAAGCTGGCAACAGAGGAGGGAAGTTCAGAAGACTGGGATCTCGCTGTTTGCACATCAACAGCAGCAGGAAGAGGAAGACGGGTAGGCCAAGCATGATGAGAAACACACCTGCAAACAACGAATGAACACTCACGGCTCCAACTTCAATCCAGTCTATGTATTTATTTATTTATTTTAAGAATCATTTGATTTTTCTTTAAGGTCAGAACTGAGGTCTGCCTAGCTGTGTGAAACCAATTTCTAAGGCACCATCCAAAACTCCTATCTCTATCTGTCACCGCCAGTGGGCAAGCAACCACGGGCATCCGGAGTGTAAATGAGCAGAAGTCCAGCACTGAACAGCCAAGTCCCACCGCAGAAACCAAGCTCTAAAACACTTAACCTCCAATCACTGAGGAGCAAAAGTGTTGAAACTCCAGCAAACTAAAAATCAGAACATCTAAAAATTACCACTCCACTCTTAACAAAAAACATTATATTCTTAAGCTTTCAAGAATTGAAATAGTATCACATTCGTGTAACATGTGCATAGATTTTAGCTGATGCTGGACACCATCTGCAGCAGACCAGCTAGCCAAGGGTTATAATTTACAAACATGAAGCATTTAAGATAAGCAGGATTTTGAGCCATTTAGCCAGGAAGTATTTTCTTTTACTAGCTCATAAAATTTCACCAATTCCACCCACTTAATCACTCCAAGGCTCTGCACACTTCAGATTTTTGACCCTCACATACGATCAACCTGTCCAGCAGGTAGAGCAGACACCTTGACGCCATTTTATGCAGGCAGCTTACTGCCTAAACCAGGCCCTACCATTTCGCGTCTGCTTATTAGCGGATCTCCCTGTCCCTAACAGGTCACCAGCCTTATTATACACCACTCGCTTCTGTTATCACTTTCTTCATCTTCTCTGCTTAAAACCTGTGAACACAATGCCAAAAGCTTTCAACATAGCCACAGGGGCATCCTTTCTACTCCATATTCCCCAAAATGCTCCCACCTCTGGCCTTTGTACCCACTATTCCTTCTCTGGAAGGCTCTTTCCCAGGTTCCCACCTGGCTCTTACCTCGTCTACCTCAGATTTCCACAGAGAGGCCTTCCAGTCCACCTTATACCACTACCACTAGCCCACCCCACTGCCCTGCCTGGCCCCAGCTCTGAGGCCTACCAGGTACTCCTCCAAACTCCAAGTCCTTCGTCGGTGAGGAGGTCACTTCAAAGGTTCTCAGCGATGCAGGTACTCTTGTCACAAGTTTTTCTTCCTTAGAATCTAGTTCTTTTAATTTGATCTCTTCTCGTCTTGGACGAAGGCTGTGCTGTGTAGATACATAACTACTTTCTTGTGACAAGTGGAATTGTTCCTAATTAGAAATTTCAAGAAGTAATAAATATCTGTAGTCAAAAATTACCACTAATGCTACCACACTAACTAATTCAACATGTCAATACAGCTGTATACTAATACATTTCTTAAATTATATTCAGTCTTAAGGACAGAATTTTAGAACAGATTATTAAATTTTATGATTTTCAATGTGTTTCTGGAGGGAGAGGCACTTCAACAAAAGAAAAGAAAATCACCAGACATGAAAGTGAACACGTTCATACCTGCATGTGTTTAGGAGGCATGTCATTCCTCTCGATGTGCTCAGGCTCCCCATTATATCTGCTGATGCTATTTCCAAATGGCTTCTAAATTGAAGAATATAAACACTTTAAGCAAAAGAACTATAGCTTATTAAAAAGGAACATGATAAAAATTTACTACTGTGAAATCAATCAGTAAAATCAGCCAAAGATTTTCACAGCCTTAATTCTGAAGACTTTCAACCTAATTTTGTTAAAAAAGAATAAAATTGACTAGAATTTCCCAATTTTATTAATGTGGATTTCTACATAAAACCTTTCATCTCTCATGTAATATAAGCAGACGGGCTTATAATTTCATTTCACTGACAGATACTCTATTAATATTTCCAATGAGAAGCAGGTAAAGTAAAAATTGGTAAATCAGTACATTAACTGGTTAAAAACAAAAGAGGAAAAGACACTCACTGCCCCAAAATAGCCAATAATGGAAAATAAAGAAACAGTGGGTACTTAAGCAGTATATGGTAGGCTCAGGGCTCTGGTGGTAAGAAGCAAAGCCAGTCTGTGGCTCTTGTATCAATAAGACTGTAAGGAGATTTACACTGTAAAATGTAATAGTCCCTAAATATTAAAAATGAAAGTGTAACAGAAAGTATCATGCAGCATCTGTTCCTTATCCTGAGTCATCTGGCTGGTAAAGAGAGCCACTAATAGTTAAAGTATTCAAACTCAGTAGTAATTATCAAAATGCAAGTCAGTTGAAATCTTTGACAATCACATTGGCAAAAAAAAATTACTACAATACTTAGAATGAGAAAATACATCTATACACTACTGATACTAGTATAAACTTTCTTGACATAATCTGGCAATATATATTCAAAGCCTCAAATCTGTATTATATATCTAACCTAGCAGTTCCACTTGTAAGAATCTATCCTAAGGAAATAATCAGATGTTGTATAAAAATGCTTGTTTATAATAGTGGGAATTTAGAAGGAAAAACACTAAATGTCTATCAATGAGGGAGCTGACTTTTAACAAGTTATGTCTATATAATTTAGGGCATATCCATGCTATACCATACAACAAAAATGACACAAAAAAATATGCAATAAAAGGTTATTTTAAGGTTATTCCCAATGTTTTAACATTTTAAACAGCTGACTATAAAACAGTAATGCATATGATACAGGTTTTTTAGGTTATTAAAAGTCTGTGCGCATTTTATCCAGAAGAGATAATTAAATATTAAGTGAATAGAATAAAAGATGACTTTTATTTAAAATATTTTCTATTTGGACTCGTATTTAAAATACTCGCCATACAAAGTCTATAGGCTTCACATACCCTAATATTTCCAACCTTGCACTTTGAAAGTAATTTCATTAAAATTATCATCTTCAAATAGGTAAATGGATCAAATATAATGATGCTAAGATAGCAAGAATATGTTTCTATCACAGTTATGTCTCATTTCACACATGATCTTTTATACACTAAAAACTTATTTGGTTCAACCTACAAGCTACATCTATTTCAAATTTAAACATTGCTTTTTTAAAAACTACAATATTAACTAGCACTTCTGGTAACTTAAGAACATTCTTTTTCATTGATATTTAAAACAACTACACTTGCTATTCCAAACGTTTGTTTTTTATGTAATCTTCCAAAGTTAGATTCTATGTTTCAATGATATTTTAATATTATTAACTGCAAATAATCTGAGGAAATATGTACATAAAGGGGAAGACAAAATACTGTATAAAGATGAAGACAAGCACCAATATCAGTGGAGTCAATTTAACTGCCAACACTTCCTTCCTTGCTTCCTTAATGTTGGCCTGGTGGGACGCAGAAGCAGACCGGCGTGAGCCCCTTGGTGGCCGACCAGGGGAGCGGGAGCGGGAGCGGGACCGGGACCCTGACCGGCTCCCTCGGCGTCTGGAAGGAGAACTGGAAGTTGAGCCACTTTTCCTTTGCCTAAAGGAAGTTAAAGGCTAGAAGGAAGGAAAAAGGCAAAAAGCTTTACTAAAATCATAATACGCACAGACCCAAACTAGAAAAGGGTACCAAAAACGGTAACTGCTACCACTAACTCTAAAACCATAATGAGAAATGACAGGATCTGAGAACCCCATCAGATGAAGCCAATGAAAACTACTGCAATAATGCTCCATCTCTCATGAGACACATGCAGCCTTTCCGTTCCTAAATGTTCTTTGAAGGTATTTCCATAAAATGAATGTGTCTAAACCAATTAGCAGTACGTATTCCCAGGAACATATGCAAGAAGCTGTTATAATTAACATTGATTAAAACTGAGATCGGACAAAAGAAATCAGCACACAAACAATTAAAAAATGAGTTCCACGGTTTCACTCTGAACAAAACACACAAGCAGATTTTGAAAACAAAGTATGAGTTTGGATTCCTGGAAACTGTTTTACCATGTCCTCACCCACTCCAAATCACTGCTGCCATTGCTTCTAAGGATCTAGACCTGGAGAAAGCAAACTATGCCACAGGCCAAGTCCTCCCTATCCCAGTTTTTGTGTGGCCCTTGAGCTAAAAATGGCTTTCACATTTCTTAAGTGATTGTAAATGAAATCAAAAGAATAATATTTCCTGACACCTGGAAATTATCTGAAATTCAAATTTCAGTGCCCATAAAGTTTTATTGGAACACAGCCATGTCCATTCCCTTCCATAGTGCCTGGAGCTGCTCCCAAGCTACAGAAGCTATATGGCCCATACAACCTAAAGTATTTACTATCTGTCCCTTTAATCAAATAATTTGCCAACTCCTGGTCTCAAACACTCAAAATGTGGTCCATATGCTATGAATCCAGGAACCGTTTATCAGTAATCTGCAACAAATACCAAAATTGAGAAGAGGTGTATGGAAATTTTTATAGCCTTTGACAAAGTAATTTTATGTCTATTGAATCTGATGATAAAAATGTGAGGCTTTTATTTTATATGTCTTTTTTCATTTTTCTGGTAATTCATTTTCATGGCATTTTACATAAGTATTTGTGCACCATGGATCAGATAGTTTAAAATCTGGCCCTAACTGGATAGGTTAAGAAGCCTTGGGCTAGACTCAAATCTAATTAACGTCACTCTCCTGACTAAACCCCTGCGTTCGGGTCGAAGCCAGGACGTGGCATGTAAAACCCTCCAGTCTGGCTCCTGCTTACCCTCCACTTGCCACCCTTCCAGCATCCGGCTGACTGTGTCACTCAAGCCCCACGCTTTTGGCACATTGCTCTCTCTGTGGAAGCAGCCCCAGCTTCAACTGAGTTTTTCCTATTTGTCCTCAGTACTTGGCTCAGGTGTCACCACCTCTGAAAGCCTCCGATGAAACCCAGGGCCCTTCCCTACCCTTGATATACTCAATACCACTCACAGCAAATTCCAGTCACAGAATGTATTAAACCCAGGGAAACAACAGGTATAAATGTCTGTCTTTCCCTGAAACTGCAAGCTTACTGGGCACAAAGCACTATGCCTCATTCATGCATTCCCAGAGCCAAAACCAGTATCTGACCCAAAGCAGGAGCTCAACCCATGCCTCCAGACAGAGCCGGAACTGACAACACTGAGCTTCAAAATCATACTTTGAGTTATTTCCCACTTACTGTAAGTTGATACTCCAATCAACCAAAGGAGCTCTTACCTTGATATCATTCTCCTTCAATTCAAGTTCGGTTCCATCTTTGTATTTCACAGTGTAAAGCTGGGAGCTGCTGTCATGGCTCAGAATTTCTACTTCATAATAAAGTGAACTCCCAGGCCATCGACCTCTTACCACTTCACCATCAGCAAATTTCCTACTAGGCATTTTCTAAAATTAGTCTGAACAGTTTTAAAGAAAAAAAATTAAGTCAATATACGTACACACTTATATATTTGTCTTTTATCACAGGTTGATCACTAAAATACAACTCTCTTGAATTAACCAGTCAAGATTTTACGACTAGAAAGGCCTCTGGAGGAGAGCTTATTTGAAAGATGAAAAAACTAAAACTTAAAGTTAACTCTTTTGTTCAAGGGCATAAAAACAGATGACATGAAATGGAAGAACTAGGACAATACTGAAACTGTTCTTTCTGCTACATTATATCTCATTTGGAATCACTTTATAGAGGATGATTTAGCCACTCTGCATAGATATGTGATACATATGTGACACTAAGGATTATGACAACATACAGGCACCACATATTTAATAGTCTGCACTACGCAAAATGTTATCTACAGTGACCATATTTCTTGCTAATCAAAAAATCAGGCATACTCTTATAAAGGACACATTTTCTGATGTGTAAATTTGTATATCATCTTACAAAAGCTTTAAAAATGCATTTAACTATATTTTCAACTAATTACATTTATTAAAAACAAACTATGAAACAGACCGTCTGGGAAAATCAAGGATATACAATTAAGATTATTATCACCCACCAACAGGAAAAAAATAATTCCAAATCTATAATGAATAGCAAATTTGGGGGTTCATTCTTTACAGCAAAAAAGCCCGAATGCACACCAAATAACTCTGCCAACCACCTCCTTAGGCTAGCTCATATCTGGTTCACTTCTCTCAAGCATACAGCAGGCATCAACCCCCAATCATAGCATTCTTCCCACTAATTCAAAACATGGCCCATGAAGCCTACAACACTCAAAGAAGCCACAAACAATCTGCAAAAAATTGCCACTTACATGAGGCCTGCCTGCCACCCTTTTTGAAGTATCAGTCCATTGCTGGTTGCTTCCAGCTGCCGGGTAGTAAGGGCTATCCTTGAACTGACCAGCAGATTCACATTTCCACACTATAAAACCAGTGCCGTCGACCTTCTCCCACACCGTATGAACTAGCCAGCTGGGCCTAGTTCAAGTAGATACTGTACGACTGATGTGTTCTCTCCCTAAATCACCTTCGTCTCACCAACTAAACAATTCCTGATACACTGTCCATATAAATGTATATTCCTCACCAGCTCCTATTAAGAGCTGAAGATACAACAACAGCAACATTTAAATACTTTTGAAGACTTTGTGGAATTAAGCAGAAAGTTGCATTACCTACTCCTCCCATAAAAAAGTCAACTCAACACCACTCGTTTTCACTGTTAATGGTCTGAGAAAACACTTAACAAGCTTCACTTGTTTAGATAGATAGTGGCTAGGCTGGTAGATGAAAGAAAACAGTACTTATCTGATGATTAGAGGATGTCAGTCAATTAACACATTAGGTAAAAGAGCCTGCTTTCTTCTCAGCATCCACATGGGATAGCATCACCAGGGTAATGAATGGGTTTGGGCTAGGAATAGTGGGGAAGAGCCTATGTGCCTGAGGATGAAGTCAGGCCTGGCTGAGGAGTCACCTGAGGGGCACTTAGGAAGGGTGGTGGGGGGCAGTGGACACCTCCAGACAAGGAGGAGGGGCACAAAAAGGGAAGGTGACAACAGCGTTGCCAATTTCAACACTTAGCTCTGAGCCTCCAAGTACAAAGAAAGAGGAAGGAAATACACCCTCCTCTCTCTTCTCTTGTGCCCCCTCCTTCTCCCTGGACCCCCCCCCAAATCAAACCACTGGTACTAGTACTACCTCTCCTACATTGTTCAGCCAGTGTTTGAAGAAGGCAATTATGTCTTTCTACATGAAGACACTCAGGTTTCAAACAACTCTTTATAAACTTTTGAAACACAAGTTCTTCGGCTCTTAGGGGCCAGTTGTGGTTTTAAAAGGCCCTTGAACAGATCCTGTATGTTCTTAAAAATTTACTTGCATCTTTCCACTGCACTATTACACACTACACACACAGTATCTGTGCAATACTGAACACTGGACGCTGCCAAAAAGATTTTTTTGTTATCAATTAAATAAAATAGTTGGGGTTAAACAAATTAAGATATCTGGTGGATATCTATTAGGTCTCTAAGCTTAATTTTTAAGAAAAAGAATTAAGAGTTGAAAAACAAAACAAACCCAGCACTCTCCTTAGGAGACCACTACCTTATATACAAATGTTCCAAAGGATGAAGCCAACATGATGTGCACCCCACTTTACACAAGGTCCACACACAATTGTCAAAGGTGAGGATATGGTGCAATCACACCCTAATATAACTTCCCTCAGGCGTGAATGAGCCCGGCTGGTATGCCAAAGCCCACATTTGTGCATGTCATTATGCACTCACCTAAAGAAGGCAGATAAACACGGACAGGCTTTCCTTAGAAGGAACATTTTAGTCAAGTGTGTAAGGAAAAATTTTGTTTACTGAACACAGTGTCCTCATTCCCCATAAAGAGAAAAACACGGGGACCCGCAGGCTTTTTTCTATTAAGCCAGATGCTTGCTAACTTCAGTGTCAGCTGGCACTGGAACCCTCACACGTTTCAGCTCCAATATGTCACTGTTTATCAACATGACAGTTCTCTGCTGATCAGTGTTACAAGAGTCTTTGGTCACCTTTCACTTCTCCAAATTAATTAAATGTGGAAGAGAACAAGCAGCTCAAATGCAGTTTGACAGCTTCCCTTCAACACCTGAGCGCTCCCCCCCTCGCCCCGTAGGCCTTCTTGGCAAAAAGCATACAGAAACCCTGGGGGGTGCCCCCGCTGCACGGAGCAACAGACACTCCACCTTTCTGGCTGTAAAGGCAGAGGCAGAAGGGCCTTTATAAACAACCGAAGGCAACTCATCATTCCCCTCCTACTCACTCTTTTCCCTCCTGGCCAGGCAGCTCTCAGAAACAAAACTTAAATTGGACTTGTTGCCCAGTCTAAATTAGGGCCCCCACCCTCTCCTGCAGAGCAGTGACTACAGTGGGAAACCACAAAGCTACACATGTTTACCTGCAAGGTCCCCGAGGGTCCGTGTCCAGCCCGGCTCTGCCCAGGCGCAAGGCCTTGCAGCAGCTGAGCCAGCCGGCTGGCTGCGGGCCCAACCCTGGGCTGTCCACGCGCGGTCCCGTCTACCTACTGTGTCCTGCTCTCAGCTCCCGGCCACCTGGACGAAGCTCCTGGAACAAGGCCCTGTGCTATCAAGTGCTTACTAAGTGCCCCTTGAGGCTGCTGAGTGTGAGGCAGGCTGTCATTAGGAAATTTTTTTTTAAAGCTTTGAAAAGGTGACAAAACAGGATCGTGCTGCAGCAGGAGCACGCAAACCTGCCTCCATACCCGTTTTTTGAGACCACCCGGGAGAGAGAATTCAATACGTCCAGCCGAGCAGCCCCGCAATCCCCGCCCAGGGAGGCAACAGACCGCGGCAACCACGACCCTCCACGCCAGTACCAACAACCGGCGTGAATTGAAGCGAATTTGCGCCCGCCGTCCCCGCCCCGCCCGGCTGCCGCGCGTTTCCTGCCTCGCGACCGGCAGGGCCGCCCGGCCGCCCGCTTTTCTGTCAGACAGGCGCTTGCGGGGCGGGACAAAGGCCACACGCTCTCCGCGCCGCCGCGTTACTGCCACTCGCCGCGTCAACATGGAGGGAAACGTCCGCAGTTTCAAACCCGCAGCTCCGTTTCCGCAGCGGGCCCGGGGCGCTCGAGCGTCTGCAGCCGCCGCCCCGACCGACCAGACGGCAGGGGACGAGCAGAGGGGCGAGGAGGGGCGGCCACCAGGAGGGGCGCGCAGGGCCGCCGCGCCAGGCTCGCGCCCCGGGACCCCGACCCACCCGCCGCGCCGGCCCCCGCCCTCCGCGCTGCCCATCGGAGGCGTCGCCGCGGGGAGCTGGGAGCCGGGCCGGGTGGGAGCGCTCACCTGCGCAGGTCGCCTGCGGGAACGCGAACGACGCCGGGAGAGGAGGCAGCTGCACTCGGGCCGCCGTTCCGCGCGCGCAACGCTGCCGGCCGCGCTCTCGCGCCTCGCGACCCCGCGGCCCGGACGCGCGCCTCCCCCGCCCCGCCCCGCCCCTCCGGCGGAGCCGCCCAGGGCTCCCATTGGCTCCTCGGCCTTTTGAATCGCCTTGGCGCTGTCTGTAGGCCGCGCGCTGTGGTCTGTCCTCCCACCTCGCGGCGAGGCGGGGGAGCCGGGAAAGCCGGGGCGGGCGGCGCCTGGCGCGGCCTGGAGACCGGCGTTTGCCGCTGCCTTATCTCCTCAGCCCAGGCGCCCTGGCGGTCCAGGGCCCGCGCGCGCTCCCCGCCTTTTCCCTCCTGGCGATTTGCCTCAGAGGGTTTGGGGCACAAGGAGGCTTGAGGAGAGAAATTGAAAATAATAAGAAGAAGAATAATAAATTCGCAGTAATAACTAAGTATCCGAGCCAGAAAATGCTTCTTTCTAAAACCCTCTGAGCGCTCTCCCTAGCGTGTTAAAATCCTGCGGCAGCCTCCGGACCCAGCGCTGGCTTCGCGGGCGAGCCAGGGGCTCCTTTGTCCCGCGGCGACTGCGCGGGGCGGAAACCGACGTGGACCCGAGACGGGCCGGGGGCGGCGGGGAGGGGTGGGGACGACGACTCGCGGGGTCCCACGAGGACTGCTGTGGGGACGGGGATTGTTTTTAAGGTGCTGCGGAGACGAGTGGAAAGTGCTCAGGGACGTGGAGCAAGGAACAAGAAGTGCTGGGCGTTGCCGAAACACCGCTTGTCCTGCACCACGCGAGCCTGGTTTTAGTTGACCCTCAAAACGCTGAATCATTACATTGTTGACTCCGAATCTGTTATGGATCCTAAACCTTTTTGTTTCTTGGTTGTTTTTTTTTTTTTCCTGTAAGTTATCATTATCGGTTAGTTGGTTTCCTTCCTTTGAGGTCGAGAATTTAAAGCATTGAAGTTCCCCATTTTGCAATGTGGTTTTAATCAAAGTATTTCTTAACACCCCTACTAGGTAAATTTCAGTGAATTTCTATTGTGGAAGCACTATCTGTTAAATTGTAATGATAAATAGGATTTTTCATTTATATCCTAACTTCAGGTGCCCAAAGCTCTCGTTTTCTCACAGTTATAGTAATAACTACAAAACACCCAGGTTTACTACTTTTAAAAAAAGTGAATACATTGGATTTTCTCAGTCATTCACATCCAGTGTGAATGAGTTCATCAGAGCCCTTCGTGAGGACAAGTTCTGACATGGAATTGTCATCATTGTCATCGAATTTGCCCTGGGTGGAAATCTGTGCTGCAGAAGTGCACACTGTGCCCAAAGTCAGAAAGCCTACAAGGTTTTGGCAAAGCCCCCAGCCTCAGTTGCCTTAACCCTCAAGGTAAGATAGTATAAGCGCTGTACTAGGTCTATGGGACCTAAGATAAATACTATTCCTAATAGCCAAGCAGTGCTGCATTATTCTTTTCTCATATGTTCCACCCAGAACCAAAATTCCGTTGGATTTCCCTTGAGGTACACATTTCCTAGATCATTTTCTTTCGCATTCCCCACAACCATCTGTCACTGTGTTCCCACGTAAAGGCATCCACAGTCCTGGAAGGCAGGAAGCATATTTTATTTCTCTTTGTATCTCTCCCTGTTAAGTAAATGAATGGATTAGTTAATCATGAAAGTAAGTCGTATGTGTTCTCCTAAAAGCCAGGCTATAGTAAACTCTCTCCCTCTTGGTCTAGCTAGTGAGCTTCCACGAGGCTGGATTAAGGCAAGAAGCAACGGAACCTTCACTGGCACTAACCTTTCCACCAGCTGGAGTGGAGGAGGAAGGCTACCTTGGGTGTCTCTCTTACCTGTCATGGGCTGCTGCCCCATGGCAGGGACGCTGCCCCTAACTGTGCTAAATGCCCTTCTCTCACATAGGTTTTGCCATCATCTCTCTTAATCCAGAATATGTAACTATTTCTTTTTAAAACATACTGTGTATTTCATCTGGGGTTTAGACACTGAATGCAGGTGCATGGCTTGTTTTGGCAAGTTCTAAACTGTGGGTCCCTAAGGGCAGCCTTCCACCCCACCTCCCACCCAGGGTCTGCACTCAGAGGTAGACAGGGGGCTGGAGCATGGAACGGGATGTCGTATATAATTACCATGTTGCTTCTCTCCTGCAGGAAGAGAAGGCTCAGCCCTTCAGTGTAAATGTTTAGCACTTCATGTCTCTATGGCCACTGCTCCCACCCTGTCACCAAAGCTGCACCCTGCCCTTTAGGAAAAGCGGGGAGCAACTGCAGTTGGCATCAGGGTGGTGAAGAAGGGGAAGGAGAGGAGAGGGGACTACTGTCTAATGAGGCCCTGCTCTGTGTCACTTTCCATTCCTTACCTTATTCATGGCTCCAATCAACTCAGTGAGACAGGTGTCATCCCCATTTAGGCTGAGGAAACTGAGACTCAGAGAGGTCAACAACTTGCACAAGGGCACACCCGCCAAATAAGGGCTGGAGCAGAAATTCCAACCCAGGTCTCAGGATTCCGAAGTTCAGGTCTTTGTACCCCCCTGAATCCATTTGGTCCCCTGAGCAGCCTCTTTGTTGTCCTGGCCACTGACTCCTACTTGCCATACATAATTCACATTACATGATCCCTCTGTCATTATCAGCTGGAAACTTCCCAGTTAATTAGACTATAGCTTGTGGACGTTTTTTGCCTACATTTCAGGAGCAAAGATCTCTGCTCTCTCCTGAGGGCACCGTGCGTGTGAACTTGCCCTTGTCTCTCACTCTTTGATTCTTTCCTCCAGGACTCTTTGTCCATGGGCTGGTTTATTTTAATTCTAACACCCTGTTCTGGATTCTGTAGGATCGTCTGTGTGTCTGCCTTCCCAGGAACTGTATTCACTTTCAGGCAACAGGGGCAGGATCGCTGTAATCTTTGTACTGTACTGAGCACAGTACCAAATGCAATTAAATCTGCTTAAAACATGTTTGAGGGGGATGATATAAAATATTTGAGATGAATATTTAAAACCACATTTGCATAATTATTTTAAATTTCTTCATTTTACTAGAGCAAGAGCATCCTAACTGATGGTACAACATAAAACCTATTTGGAGCACAGTAGTGTATTGAATCATTTTACTCATAACGCCTACATAAATGACTAAAAATATATATGATTATAACTTCTTAAACAGATGAAATATAATTACAACATAGATTTATTTAAAAGTTGTACTGAGTCGGCTAGTTATCTGACAACTGTGAATATTAATTGGCGTAAGTCCTGCAGCAGAAAAAAATTATATAGTCATACTAAGTTGCTTAAGATATTTTGCATGCTTACTTTTGATACAAGAGGCTAGGATCCCAGAGATTTCACTGTTGTAACAAACAATAAAACAAATTTCAAAGTCACAAGTCATGTTACTCTGAATTGGGAGTTCCCAGCCATTCTCCAGGGTAAGTCATATAGTCAAACAAAATGTCATTTTCAGGTCTACTTAAATCTTATTTGGCTATATGTACTTAGTGCTACAGTTTGAATGTTTGTCCCCTCCAAAACAGGAAATTTAGTTGCCATTATAACAGTGTTGAGAGTGGGACCTTTAAGAGGTGATTGGCTCCACCCACATGGGTGGGATTGGCCCCCTTATGAAAGGGCAAGTTTGGTTCTCAGGGTTCCATTATATCCTTTCTACATGGTCATGCCAGGATATATAACACAACTCCTGTCCCACCTGGAACACTCCTGTGGGGTGGCCTGGCTAAGAACCCAGTTATATCAGATATGCTCAAACCACATAGGACCCCGTGGAAATTTTGTTTTAGGATGTACCCATTAGATTAAGAATTATTGCTGGCCGGGCGCGGTGGCTCACGCCTGTAATCCTAGCACTCTGGGAGGCCGAGGCGGGCGGATTGTTTGAGCTCAGGAGTTCGAAACCAGCCTGAACAAGAGCGAGACCCCATCTCTACTAAAAATAGAAAGAAATTAATTGGACAACTAAAAATATATAGAAAAAAATTAGCCGGGCATGGTGGCGCATGCCTGTAGTCCCAGCTACTTGGGAGGCTGAGGCAGAAGGATTGCTTGAGCCCAAGAGTCTGAGGTTGCTGTGAGCTAGGCTGACGCCATGGCACTCTAGCCCGGACAACACAGTGAGACTCTGTCTCAAAAAAAAAAAAAAAAGAATTATTGCTCTAAGAGACTAAATGGTATTTGCATCATACACTTTTTAATATAACACAAAATGGCTTCGTATATAGTATAGCTCATAATTTTTCTGATTTCTTAAGGCAAGGCTAAAGCCAAGAAAAATATAAGCAAATTAGTGAAGAACTCTTCCAATTTCTTAAGGAAGATATGACTTGAGAATGGATTAAACATACAATATTAAGAGTAAGTTAACATGGAAGCAAACTATTTCCTCCAGTTGCTTTCATCTTGGCATAATTCAAGGTGGAGGAGCACTGAGCTTCAGAGTGTTTTCACTTCCATGGATTGTCCTTTGCAAAGCAAGAAAACATTTTTCCAATGGTGACTGTATTAGCAAATGCCAGTGAAGCTATAGTTAACTCATCTGAATTTCTGAGGAGGAAAGTGAAGTCTCAGACTATGTTCATTGTACAAAATTTTTCAGGGCAAGTATTTTGGATGTATTGATATAAGTATTTATAGTACATTATATCTCCGTTTAAAATTTATACAGGGCAATGATAACTAAGGGGGCGGATGGTTTTCTTCCAATTCTGAGAACGCATGATAGAAAGTATTAAAGAGGCCGGGCACAGTGGATCACGCCTATAATCCCAGCACTTTGGGAGGCCGAGGCAGGAGGATCACTGGAGGCCAGGAGTTCCAGACCAGCCTGGGCAATATAGCAAGACCCTGTCTCTACAAAAATAGATACGCAGTAATCCCAAAGTAGATAACGCGCAGTGAGTGCTACCTTGTAACAACTGGCTGAGAGGTCCTTTTCCAATCAGCCAAACCAGAACCATCTTTTGATC